ATAACATCTGCCTCACAAGAGTTGAGGTGAGCATTGAGATGACCTAGGTAAGGTCCCCTAGGACTTGGCACACAGTAGCTCTTACATCAGTGTCTGTTTCCACTCCCTTCCTCTATGTAGAAAAGAGGTCACTCCTATAAATCATCATACCCCAATATCTGTCAACAAAAAAGTTTACTCCCAAGGGCTGAATTGTGCATATTGATAGCTGAGGCCTCTTCAGCCTCCCAGGACTTGACCACAGCAGCGAGGTGCAAAAAGGATCTGTCGGTGAGAAGCATTTCTTGCAAGTGAAATCCTAACCAGAGGTCCATCAGCATGAGCCTTTGCTTAAAGAAGCTCCCAGGGAGGGCGGTAGGGGCCATAGTCCCAGAACTGACTAGGCTCTGTTTTGCATCATTTTAAGCAAGAGTGCCATGATCTGATTTTTTGTTTTTTAAACTCTGGGTGGGAGACAGAGTGTAGGGGAGAGGGAACTCACCACCCTCGTTCGGTGTTCATTAAGAGGGTAGGGTCACAGCTCTGCCCAACCCGTCCAGCCCATTCACTGGGCTACTAGAAGGTGGGGACCGGAACATAGCCCTGCCGACACCAGAGCAGAGTCCACGAGCACTACAGGGACTTAGCACTAGCCAGGCCTTTCTGTCCAAGCTCCCGCCCCTCGTGCTGCTGGCGGGTGCTGGGGGAGTTAAGTAGCAGGCTTGGCGTCTCCGCACCTAACCCCACCCCTCTTCCTGAGCCCCACCCTTCCCTCGAGGCCCCGCCCCTCGACGCCTCGTCCTCGTCCATTGGGAGGCCAGCAGGGGGAGCCAGCACACAGCTTACTCGCCCGTTGGCCCCGCCCCTTCAATAGGCCCCGCCCCCTACGATTTTGTTTCTGCCTATTGGGCGTCGAGGTGCCTGCTCACTCCCTGCTTCTTCTCGCCCTGCCCACCCCACGCGGCACCCCCGTCCGTTGTGAGGCCCCGCCTACCCTGACCGGCCCCGCCCGTCCGTTGGGCGGCCGGCAGGAGGCGCCGCGGTGCGCGCGGGTGCGGGCTCGGGCTAACCGCGGAGGAGCGGTGCGGGAACGTGGCGGCGGCTGCGGACTGTGCGGGCGGTGAGTGCAGGGTGCGCGAGAGGGTCGCGGAAGCGGGGGCCGCGCCGACAGTGTGGCTCGGCGCCTGCCGGGGCACGAAGGGCGCGGGCTGGGGGCAGCGGGGCGCGCACGGGGCACCTTTCCGGCCTCAGACCTGGGTGCGGAGGGCAGGGTTGTTCGGTTGCCATGGAAACCGCAGGCTAGGGCGGCCTGCGGGGTCCCGTGGGCTTGGCGCGGCTCTAGCCGCTCCCAAGCCCCACAGCGTGGCCTTTGGCCCCGGTTCCAGTGTCCACCTCCGGAAGGAACCCGTGGCCCTCAGTTTCCCGGGCAGCCCTTGGAAGGGAACGCCTGGCTCGGGGTGCCCCGGGCAGCAAAGCGCTGGGGTCCGCGCGCGCTCCCGCGCACACTCCGTCCCGGTTTTCCTTTCCAGACAGCGCGCGCCAGCCGAAAGCGTCGTTTCCCCGCTTTTTCTGTGCCACTTCCAGCCCTGGACAAATACCTCTTCTAAGAAAACATGCCGAGCCGGTGCGGCTGCGTCCCTGTCGCCTGTCAAGTGTTTGGTTAATTTGAATTGCCGCAAGAATTTGCTTGCCGGTCTCTCGGGTTAGCATGGGCCACATCTGCATTCCAGAGGGAGCCAGTCTCTAGTCCGGCTGGGAGAGAAAGTCGGTCCCCTCTCCAGATGCCAGGCGCACATGAATTATGTTTGCATTTAAAGGCATGGCTCCAGCTGGAGCTGTAAAGATAGGATTTATGGAGGAGAGATAAAGCAAAGAGTGCAAAGCACTCTGCGTTTTCCCTCCTGGTGGAAACGATAATGGGTTCCACATTGTCCTGCTGGACGAGAGAGGTCCCTCCACCCATGTCGTCAGCCCGGTACTGACCTCACTCCCTGCACTGCCGCTGTGACTTGAGCTTGTTTTCCATCAGAAACCGGACTCTTCCCTAAGAACAAGAGAAAACATTCTCTAAGAGCAGTGTCCTGCACACTCGCTCTCTGAGCCCTGAGCTTTACCCAAGTGTTTATGTGACAGAGGAGAGAATTGAGCAGAAAAAGAAAAGGCAGGTCACACTTCCAAAAAAACAGATCTGGTTACTCAGGGCGAGCTCTGCTTGGTAGCATTTTTCTGCACTCCTCTTGGATTTTCACAAAATGAATCCCATTTGACAAACTGACTGTCATCTGCATTCTGTGATTTGGGAAAGGGGTGTGAGCATAAGGAGACAAAAAGTTTCTTGAAAGTCCCCAAACAGATAAGTTTTGTATGAACAGGGAATCGATGGGGCTTAAGAAGGAGTTAGAGGGAAGAAATGAATCACATTTTCTTTGTTTACATTTTCCTTTCTTTTTATGATATTGCTAACTCTGCCTTGGAATCTGGCCCAGGAGACTGCTGGAAAAGAGGGAGAGGTGCTCCTAAAGTTCAAGCTTCTAAGGACCCTGGCAGTTGAATATTTGTACTTCTCTATTTCTTTTTTATTAAAGCAGAATTGAATAAATGTCAGACCTGACAAAACCTGCCTTCACCCCTGGGTACAGGGTACCAAGTTCACTCCTCTATTGTATCTGGGGGCCTTTTAAGTTCTTGTATTTGTTTCATGACTTTTCTGCAACTTGGGCTTTTTCCTGCCCAGAGATGGTTTCTGCAGTTTTTGGTGTCATATTTACATTTACATTTGTACATTATCTTCTGAGGCAGAGGCTTCCTAAGCTACAAGCTGCCTGTTGTACTGTGGATCACTTGGACTTTGGCTTGGGACCCTGGGGAGGCTTCGTCTGAAATGATCACTATGCTAAGATTGTCCGTGGAGGGTCAGGCTCTCTGAGAGTGTATGCTGCCTGTGGCCTCTGAGCAAGGGGTTTCTCCTGAGACACGTGGGAAATTTTGAGAGCAGAGTTGTGCAACTTTCAGGGATGGTTAGTAAGAGGCTCTTGGAAGGGTTTTGTCCACTGATCCTCAGGACTTATTTTGAAAACTGACTACAGAAGGCTCAGGTTAGATTGAGAGTGGTTTGAAGTTGCTGGTGTGGTTTGCAGAGGCAGGGCCTTGTGTGATGCAAGCACTACCTAAAAATGCTTTGATTGTAAATTAAATCACAGGGTCCCTAAGGGGACGCTGTGGCCAGCCCAGGGCTTCTTAGAATTTGACAAGGAAACCAGGAGTCACATGTTTCTTGGGAGGAGAAACAGAGCCCTTGACTTACCACACTCCTTTATGGATTGGCTGTGTAAGGCCAAAGAAAATCTCGTGCTTGGTCTGCTCCACCTCGCTGTGTTAAAGCAAGTTCAGGTGTTCAGAAAGCCAGTACATAATGAGAGGCTCTACAGTGGTGAACTGCAAGTATGAGGTTACAGGCAAAGGACAGGGGTCAGCTGCCAGTCCATGCGGCAAATGTCAGCATTTGGAACCCAGTCTTTGGTGTGAGGTTATCCAAGGATTTCTGAAGGATTCTTAGTCCTCTGAGACAGTGTACTACTGCCTCATGGGCTGGTTACTGAGGGGTCAAAGGCAGGTCTACTACCTGCCCTCCTCCATGACTAACCCCAGGGGACAGGTGGCAGGGCCCCAACTGGCTAAGCCTGGACAGTTTCACGGTTTGATTCCTTAGGGGCCTATGGGGCTCCTTTTTCTTGAGGAGTTCCCCTGTTAGTTTCTTCTGCCCTAAGCAGCCACCTTCCTTTCCAAAAGCCTTTTCCAGTGCTTGCAGAGATGTGAGTTGAGCCAGAGAATATAAGTTGATTTTACTGAGTTTAGTGCTGACCCGAGTCATAGTGGCAGGTGACCTGGGCCACTCCTTCCACAGCCTTCTAGAAAATAGACTTTTCTCCTTGGGTCATTAGTCTGTCTGCCTTTGTTTTTGGTAGGAGCAAGAGCACAGAAGTGGGATACGGTGATGATTAGTGTGGGGGCAGTTTTGGAGCCTGAGGCTAAGCCTCAGGTTTTACCAAGCGAAGACCTGCCCTGCCCCTTCCCTGCCCTACTGTTCTCTCAAGAGATTTGTGAAGAGAATGACAAAACCGTCTAGAACTCTGAGCCCCTGGAGTACTAAGGACATTAGAATTATTATTTTCTGACACACAAGAGCACCACAGAGCCGTTTTCTGCACAAGATTGTGTCCCTCTGGCCTGGAGTGGGCTGAACACCCGGCTGAAGGAGGTGGGTGGAACATACACATTCCACTCATGCTTCTATCTGTTCCAGCCTAGTCCTTTGGTGGTTGTTGTGGGGACGTTCTAACACTGCCCTACCTGGGAAGTAGTATCTCTTTTGAGCTAGGCTGGGTCTCTTTAGCCTGGTTGTTGCATTCTTGGGATTTGTGTTTGTGTTTATGTTATTCCTCTGTTAATGTGGCTGCAGTATTTTTCCCTAGTTCCACTGTTTGCAGTTGACTTTCTGCATTACAGACTGGGGTGCAGGAGATGGAGTTGATAGAGAGTTGTTTGCCTCCTCCGTGCTGGGTGGTGGCTCCTGGGTGGCACGGAGCCAGCCCTGCAAGGTCTGCCTTGTGGTGCAACCCTAGCTCAGTGTCAGTCACTCTAACGTGATGTGCTCTGCATGGGGTGCACCAGGCATTGCACTTTGCAGAAATCTGAATCCTGTAGCAGAGCATGTCTTACCGTGGTGACCTCATTGTGCTTCCTAGTAACGGCTTTCCTTGAAGGGCACCTCAGTGCATTCTACCTGCTTATCCTTCGTGGTCGCTGTAGGTTCCAGTCACATCTTCCACTTGGGCTCTGTTCATACTGGGCCCTGGGTGGCAGGTCTGTAAGCTGGGCTGCAAGGGGCCTGTGATGTCCACTGGGCTCTCTTGGGTCTTGCTGGCCCTGATGCTCACAGTGGCTGGTGCTAACTTCTTCCTTGTCCCTCCCAGGGCACGGTCTTTCCTCACTCTTTGGCTGCAGCCTCGGTTCTTGTCCATGAAGGCCTACCCACCATGTTTTATGGGACTCACTTCATCATGTCTCCACCCGCCAAGGGCAAGTTGAAGCGGCAAGGCCAGCTGTTGTCCAGTGTGCTGTCCAGGACTTTGAGCTACAAGCACCGGGACCTGGACCCCGCATTCTCCAGCCTGGGTGCCAGCGATGACCCCTCTGAGCTTTCCACCCAGCTCTCAGCCCCAGGGGTCCTGAAGGTGTTTGGGGACAGTGTTTGTACAGGTACCCACTACAAGAGCGTCTTGGCCACTGGCACCTCCAGTGCCCAGGAGCTGGTGAAGGAGGCACTAGAGCGATATGCCCTGGATCCCACACATGCCAGCCAGTATGTGCTGTGCGATGTGGTGGGCCAAGCTGCAGATGCTGGGCAGCGGTGGCAGGCCCAGTGCTTTCGAGTATTTGGGGATAATGAGAAGCCTCTCTTGATTCAAGAGTTGTGGAAACCCCGAGAAGGCTTATCACGGAGGTTTGAGCTGAGAAAGAGATCAGACGTGGAAGAGCTGGCAGCCAAGGACGTGGACACCACCACAGCAGGTGAGGAAGGGGTGGAAGGCTCTGGAAGAACCATGAGTCTGAATGCCGAGAGGACTGGTTAGGGGAGGATGAACTGGAGCAGTGTGGGGGTGTGCTCAGGGGCCACTCGGGGACATGCTTGCACCATGGGAGTGGCTGAAGTATGTGTTGATCCCTTTCTTTTAAATTCACTGTTGTGGAAATTATAGTATGTCTATACTGCAGGGTGCCTGCCAGTGTTCTTCAGAGGCTGCTGATATTCTTGCAGTATTTTAGGCCAGGTCTACTGCCCAGTTCTTTATCCAGCATCTCAGCTGCAGAGAACTGTACTCACCTCGTTACATGTGAGGTTACAGACGCATCACAGCAAGTTCCTCAGCACTGGGCACCTCATGGGAATGTTTGGGGCAATCAAGTGAAAAGACAAAGAAGGAAGTTGTCCCCAAACCCTTGCAGCCTAGCTGGAGTGCAAGGTCTCAGAGGCAACGAGGGTGTGCCCATTGAGCAGTGGAGCTGGGGACACCTGGGCAGTTGGAGACCTTTTAGGGCAGCCCAGCCTACGGGAGTTGGCCACCAGCTAATGGGAAAGTGCCAGGGGAAGCTTTGGGTGATTGTCTCAGGGATCAAGAGCCCTGTGGCCTGGGGTCTGTGGCTTTGTTTCTGGTTATTATTCAATTGGTGGAAAGAAGTTGATTGTCTTCATAGATGCACCATAAAAATAATTTTGTCAAATCCTGAAAGATTCTTTAATGTATTTCAGATCATGTTGGACATTTTCTTAGTTTCCTGTAAAAGCGATTGCTTTACACAAGAACGGCTTATGTGCCCAGAGTTAGGAAGGTACTTAGCAGATGCTTTGGGGTAGAAAGGGACTTAGGTCCTTGCTGATGTCTTGTGTGTGTCATGGCCGTTCCTTTCTGCTTCCTGGTCTGGAGAATGGGGAAAATGACACAATCCCAGCAGGGTTAATGGAGTGACATGTGAGGACTCTTCAGCAGGTGCTGCTGTGCTGGCATGGTTGTAACTGTTGTCAGTGGTCTACAGCATGTTCTGTGTACATGCACACACCAGCCTCCCCAGGACAGGGTGGGGTGTGCAGAGGGCTTGGTTTTGGCAGGCAGGAGTATTTTGTCATTTATGCTGTTTAGATTTGCTGGCACCTGGTGACAGCAGCTGACTGACTTTAGTTGCTTTTATTATTATTATTAAAGTCTGCACAGACAAGCTTCCTGGTTGCCTGCACCTGGGAGCCCTCTCACCCATAGGCTGCTGCTTGTAGGATTTTGTTTCCAACCTGACCCTGTCTTGTTATGACCCAGTGATCCCTGCAAGGGCCAGTGATCTATTGGCAAGGAGGATGGTACCTTCCCCTCCTCATTCTGAAGGGAAGGTGTGGTGTGGGCAGACGGAGCCCATGTTCTGCACAGGGACAGAGGCTCCTTGGTGAAAGATATGAAATTTCTGCTATTCTTCTGCAAGGTGTTGTGTACACCCAGTGGTTAGTGAAAAGCAGGTAGAACACAGTCCACTCAGGTCTACCGAGTGGTCAGGACTGTTGCTGAGTCGCCTGGGGCCAGCATTACCTGTCCTGAGGTTGTGCTCTGTCACCTGGGCAAGGAGGAGGCCTTGGAGAGCCTTCTCTGCTTGCACAGTGATTGCTGGCAGAGGACTGTGGGGACCAGACTTGTTGCCACAGGAATCAGGGGTATGTTTCATGCTCACCTGCCTCTTCGGAGTTGTTCCTGGCATGATGGTCAAGAGGAGAGCAAGTACAGCCTGTTTAGGTAGCTGTTTTTCAAACCTTTCAAAGAAAGAGTCGATGAAGCTGACCCATCTCACAGACACACCTGTTCTGGCTAGAATGGGCTGTGCCTCCTCCTGCCTGGAGTGGCCCCGGGGCCCCAGGGAGCTGTCTTTTCTCACTGGCCTTCTCTGGGCTGCGGGTGATTTGAGGTGGGATGCTGTCACTGGCATGCTTGTCACAGCGTGTTACTGAGCTCTTTCGTGGAGCCAGGTAGCAGGCAGGCCCATGTTCGGGTGTGTGAGTTGGGCCCACACAGTCCAGGCTCTGTGGGGAGGCTCCTGTGGCCACCCCAGGATGGGGTTTGATAGAACATCTAGAACATTGAGGACATAAACGTGTCCACACACACATGCAGACTTGCACATGTGAGTTGTTCCCCCACGTAAGGATGCCTACAGCCTTTCTGAGGATTTGGAGCTGCCTTTCCTTGTGTTTTCTTAACCCACCACTAAGAACTTCCTCATGCTTCTGGGAAGGACAGGGTAGGAAGGGCGCTGGGCCTTGCTTGCTGCCCAGTGGTTCAGTGTCTCCCTGAGATTCAGAAACAGGGTTCGCTGTGCAGAGGTGGTGGCAAGAAGCCAGGCTGTGTTCATGGAGTAGCGTCTACAGCTGCTCCAGGAAACCCTCACCTGAACTTGGAGTAAGAAGGATCTGGAACTTTTGACAGCCTTTCTGGTGGAGGATTCTCTTCCCAGCATTCCTGACACCTGGTCATGTCACTTACCTTACTCGTCCTTATAAAGAGAAGCCCTGTACCTCCCAGGCAGCCTGTCTATCCGGAGCCTCCTCAGGCATTGATGAGGCTACTTGTCCTGAGAGTGACCCCAGTGCAGACTGTGTGTCACTGTATTATTGGAGGGGGCAGCGTTTGCTGCAGTGAAATGAATATGACAGAGGTGGTGCTGTAGCTTTCAGAAAGATGGCAGGATGGCATCTGTCTTTGCAGTGAAGGCTGGTGAGCGCCAGCATGTGCTAGGCACCTTTGTTCCCTTCCCCAGAGGACCACAGGTGGCCTTGTGCCTACTTCCCAGTGAGAGTACAGTCTGGCCTCACCTGGACAAGGTAGTTAAGAAGGAAAGAGATGGCTGGCCTGTGTGTGTGTGCGCACGTGGGCATGTGTATGTGTCAGTGTGCTGCCCTCCCTGGGACACTGTAACACTACTTTCCATTATTCCAGTTATTGTTGCTACAGGGAAAGCCTCACACTGATTGTGAGTAAGTTGGACTAAGGAGTTGCACTAATTTTGGAGGAAGCATTGAGTAGGGCATCAGGGCATTCACTGCTGTGGCTCTCCGATGCTTCTGGCCCAGGCCTATTAACTGGGACTCTGTAGTAGAAGCCAGTGGTGAAAGTGAGTCAGTTGGAAGCTTCCCATAGGATACCCACCCAGTTTCCATGAATGCTCACAGTATTGTTATGCATCCATACTCATATTCTCAGGCACCTTGGGTTTTTTGTTTTCCATAAAGGTTGCATTTTCATAGCAGCCAGTTTTCTCCTATTTCCAGAGAATCAAAAAATCAAATACCTGTTCTGGGAGAGAGGCTGGTTCAGGTAGGACTGTGGTCTGGCTCATGCCTCGAGGAGAGAGGTCCTGGGTCCTGTCACTGAGATGAAGACAGTACTCACAAATGCTTCCTGGGGACGGGTGATGTCAGGGCCATGTGGTTTTTGTCAGGGACTTGGGAAGGGCCACAGAGCATGGTTTATTTGTATTCATAGGAGGAGTGAGGCTTAGGTCAGCTCAGAATATTAGAGGGTTTTCTTTCCTCGCTTCCTTCCTCTCCTTCCTTTCTTCCTGATGCAAGAGTGTGTTGAGCCTGGATTTCTTGAGCTCAGCCTCACTGGCATTTCAGGCTAGAGCATCTTTGCCATGGGAGGTGTCCTGTGGGCTATTGGGTGTGGAACAGCACTCCACCCTCCTTCTCCTTTATCCTATAGTTGTAGCAGCCAAAGCTGTCCCCTGACATTGCCAGCTGTCCCCAGAAGCAGCTGAACGGCCTTGACTGAGAGGTACTGCTTTGGACCAGCTGATTCTGTTCAGGTGAGCACCTCACCATTGGGGTCAGGCTGCTCAAGACCATCAGGCCTAATCCGCTGGCAGCTGTGCTGGCCTTTCCTGGGCCACTCTGGAGGGCCAGGGGGTACCTCAGTAGCCCAGCTTCTGAGGAGGGCGACAAGTGGTACTGCTGTTTGGTCTGTGAAAGCTGTCCTGTGCAGCCTTTGTGGCCTTCAGAGCCTTGGCATTGGTGCATTCCTGGGAGCCAGTGCTTCCTTCTTTGCTTTGAGTTCCCTCTTCTTAAAAGGGAAAGCTTAGAGAGTGTATAAGGCCACAGAGATTTGAGGTTATCTCTGCAGGCAAAACAAAGACCAGGGATACCACACCAGCAGTCACTGGGCTTTTGACTGATAAACTGCCCATCAAATGGTATTCAATAGGTGATCATTAAATTCTTGTGGTTAGTGCCCCGAGGAGAGAAAGCTTCTCTCTGTGGCCTCAGCTTCCACGTGTATCCAAGACTCTGGAGTGGGATCCATTTTCTCTGAGGTGGTAGGAGAGTGAAGGTGGGAGGGTGTGGCTGCCTAGGGGCATAGACTGTGGCCACCCGAGCATGGTGTGCCACCCTCCCCTCCCTTCAAGCCTTGCACAGAAGGTGGCAGGTGGGTGCAGATCTGTTTCATTGCTGAGTACCCCACTCTGAGTTTACTTTTGTCATTATTCATGGGCTTGGGTCCCCCTTGTGACAGCCTGGAATGTGCAGGGTCCAGGAACGTGAAACTTGCTGCCGCCTTCACTTGCTTGCTGTGTCCATGAATTCTGTCCTCCTGAGTCCTTCAACTTCTTTTAGTTGTTTTCTTTTGAAAAAATTTTCTTCCACTATAAATCTTATTTTTAAAGAACTCTTATCTTAGTTTGAAGGAGGTGATCTGGCTTATTTTTCCTCTTTTTATTTAGGAATAATTGTCTCCTGACTGAGACTTCCTTTCCAGTATATTCTCAGTGATAGAATCATTGTGGGAAACTTTTATTTTATGTGATTTGGCTAAAACCAAAACAACCCCAAACTTTTCTTCACCAACCTAAAAGAGTAATTGAACTTTAAATTGTACAAAGAGGTGGCCAACATGTAGAGAATCTTTTGTCAAATTCTGTAATGAATAATTTGTAAATAAAGGTCTGTTTAGCTACAAATTCCCATTTTCTGTATGTATGGTGACTTTCAGGATGCCTTGTATAATGGACTGGCAAAAGGGGTAGCCAAGGGGGATACTGCAGGGAAGAATTTCAGCCAGGGCAGGAAGTGTGTACCTGTGGTGTGGGGGAGGATTGTCTCTAAGGAGAAGGGCCATTTAGGTGTCAGGGTGAGGGGAAGAGTACTAGAGGTTTATCACCCCTCACGTTCTGTCATCCAAGTTTGAAATTCTTGAGTTTTCTTAGCATTTGCTCCCAATTTGGGATCTCAAAATGTGAGAGTGTATGGTTGTCTTGAATAACTAGCGATTTTATAAACTAAGCAGCACTTAACTCATATTTTCAAAAGCTTCCTTACTGTTTTAATGAGATTTAAAAATTCTAGAGCAGTGCTTCTCAACCTGTGGGTTGTAACCCCTTGTAACTATGAAAATACATCCTGCATATCAGATATTTACATTACAATTCATAACAGTAGCAAAATTACAGGTATGAAGTAGCAATGAAAATAATTTTATGGTTGGGGGTCACCACAACATGAGATACTGTATTAAAGGGTCATGGCAATAGGAGGTATTAGGAAGGCTGAGAACCACTGTTCTAGAGGTATAGTCAAAAAAATTCATTAGCTAGCATTTGCTGTCCAGTTAGTCCAACAAAATGTCCAGTTTGATACCTTTTTGTATTGTGCCAAGTTTCAGTAAAATGGATCAACCTCTTCAAAGTTGTCTTGCATCAGGCAGACATAAAAGCAAATGTTTAAATTTGGTTAAATGGAAACACAGACTGTACTTCATCCTATCAACACTTTGAAGCTTTTACAAAGAGGTACTGGTATGTTATTACTAACATTTAAACCATGTTAATATTTGTTGATTCTCAACAGTGACCTATAATGTTGGTTGAAAGATTTGGGGGGATGTGTTTAAGTCAAATTATGTCTTTCCTCAGTTTAGATAATATGCTAACATAGAGAATGCTAGCTGAGTATTTTTCTTTTAAGAGTTAATGTGACAGGAATGTTGCCAGGGGTTTCAGATATGTATAGAGTGGAAGCAGCAAGCCAGGCCTGTGTCCACCTTCTTTGTCCTGCTGTCTTGGCACAGACTATCTCTTTGTGGAAGAGTACAGATCCTTACATGCCTATGATAGGTTTGAACAAGACAAGCAAGAGTAGAAGGGATTGACCTTATTAGCACTGAGAAATTTTTTTTTAATTTTAATTATAATGAAGTTGAAGAACTGGTCCTAAGTGGTCTCTGTGGCATATTGTGCGCCATGCTGGAAGCAAATGAGGTCTTTATACACTGGCAGAATGGCTATGATTAAGGAGATAAATAAAAAATATTTGGGATTATCTCAATTTAGCTTTGCACCTTAAATACAAACTGGCATCTTGAATTTATGATTGTTTTTAAGATTGTATCTTGTATTTAAGACTGAGTTTGTCTGGTTTCACATAGAAAGTACATAGGATTTAGATTGGTGCCTTATAATTTGGTATGCATTCTTTGGCATATTTTATTTATATTATTTTATTTTATTTTTTATTTTTGGGGATTCATTGAGGGTACAAGATACCAGGTTACACTGATTGCATTTGTTAGGAAAAGTCCCTCTTATAATTGTGTCTTGCCCCCAAAAGGTGTGCCACACACCGAGACCCAACCCCCCTTCCTTCTTCCCTCTCTTTGCTCTTCCCTTCTCTCACCCCTCCCTCCTTCCTTCTCTCTACTATTCCTTTTCCCCCACCTCCCTCCCTCCTTCTCTGTCTCTCTTTGCTCTCCCCTTCCCCACCCCTCACTGACTGAGAAATGTTTTTAAAGCCATGGTAACTGAAACTTGTGTTTTCAGGGGCATGAAGGGACAAGTAGACCAAGAGAACAGAATGTTGAGGCAGAAACAGATCAAATACTCTATGGAAATTTGGTGTGAGCTAGAGCACATAACAAATCCTGAGGAAAAAAATTTGTAAATGGCATCATGACATTTGGCTTCAGCTATAAGGAGAAAAATACAAGTGGATCTTTATTTCAAGTATATCAAAGGTAAAATTATATAGCCAAAAGAAATATTTCATAAGTAAGGTTTAAAAAGTGCCAGCTATAGGGAGAAAAGGTAGAAGGATTTGAGGTATATTAAAATTGAAAATTTCTGTTCAACCAAGGATACTATACAGATAAAAGACAGGTGGGCTGGGCTCAGTGGCTCATTGCCTGTAATCCTAGCACTCTGGGAAGCTGAGGAAGGAGGATTCCTTGAGCTCTGGAGTTCGAGACTAGCCTGAGTAAGAGTGAGACCCCATTACCACTAAAGATAGAAAAAAATTACCCAGGCATTGTGGCAGGCATCTGTAGTCTCAGCTATTTGGGGGACTGAGGCAGGAGGATCTTTTGAACCCAGGAGTTTGAGGTTGCTGTGAGCTAGGCTGGTGTCATGGCATCTAGCCTGAGCAACAGAGTGAGACTCTGTCTCAAAGAAAAAAAAAGTTGCCTTTGTTGGGCTCTTAGGTTGGGCTTTTGAGTGTGGAAAACTAAAGACTCTTGCCTAGAATTGAAAATCATACAACTTCTCACATGTATTGGAGATTCAAAATTATATGAGCTACATGGTCTGGATAATCTTTGTGTAAGAAATTAAATTATATTGCATGAAACTTGATAGTGTACAAAGGCATCTGTTAGAAACAAAGCAAATATTTTTTTGGAAGGCTACATCCTCTATACAGGCACCCCAGGATGCCCCACCTGAAATGAGCTCATAACCCCAAATTATAAAACACAAGAAGTAATGCCACTCTAAATGAGTTACTAGAAAACAAACTATATAACCTAGATTCTCAAGGGCATTAGGAATTGGATCATTAGTTATACTTATTTTACAGTGCTAAATAAGTATGTTTACCATGCTTAAAGAAATAAAAAGGAGGAAAAGAACCCTGAAAGAACATAATGCCATCCAAATAGGCACTGAAGATTCAAAAAGAGGAAGATTGCTCCTAATTAAAAAAAAGTATTTTAGTGGATACTTCAGTGCTTAAAGAGCAAACTAAATACAACTGCCAAGGTAACATGGCACCACCCCAAAAGAAAAATAGGTTAAGAGACATAGAAAATAGAATGAGAAGATTTGTCACATGTCTAAATGAAGAGAATCAAAAGAATGCTAGGGAGAACAGATTCCAGGACATTTATTTTATTTTATTTTTTGCAGTTTTTGGCTGGGGCTGTGTTTGAACCCGCCACCTCTGGCATTTGGGGTTGGCGCCCTCCTCCTTTGAGCCACAGGCACTGCCCTATTCCAGAATCTTCTGGAGGTGACTCTAGAATGTAAAAGGGTGACTCTTTCAATTTGGGGATCATAGGGTATCCTCATGTAAGTAATAAAAAGAAATCTACCCCAGGACACACAGTGGTAGAATTGCAGGACAGTAAAGACAGATTCTTACAGCTGCCAAGAGGAAAAGACAGACAAGCAGCAGTTTATCCTGATGCAGAATTCTTGACCAGAACCAGAGAAACCAGAAGACAGCAGAATAGTGTCTTCAAAGCAAGGCCAGATATAACTGCCTACCTAGAATGCAGACCTAGCTAAACCATCATCCAGGAACCAGCTGCAGCAAACAGGATAGGGAGCTATGATTTTCTCCATGAAGGGATTTCTAGATTTCCAAAGGATCGTCTGAAGATGCTTCAAGAAGGATACAGATCTAACATATCAGAGCAAATGGTGACCAAAGAGATGGGCAAAGCCGGGTTAATGTATAAAACAGGAATAACAGGATTGAATTTGGCAGGTTAAAGGCCACTCTGAGCCCTGTGCATCCCACCCTTGGGAAAGCCAAATTTCCCGTGAGGCCTTGCAGCGGCGTCCGGTGCGCAGGCGTCTGCGCGTGCGCGGTCCGTTCTAGAACGCCACTGCTCTGGGGTCCGGGCGCCATGTTGGGGCCGAGGGGAAGGAGGAGAAGCGCTTGAAGCGGCGGGCGCGGAGCGGGAGCGGGGTTGGACCAGGGCTGGTAGGAGCCCCGCCCCTCCCTCCTCAGCGGATCATGACCCGTACAGCGGCCGCGGAGGTCGCGGTGGGGGGGGACGTGCCCTGGCGGGGCTGGCTCTAAAGATGATGCCGTTTCCGGTGACAACCCAGGGATCACAACAGACGGCGCCTCCGCAGAAGCACTATGGCATCTCCTCCCCTATCAGTCTAGCTGCCCCCAAGGACACTGACTGCACACTTACCCAGAAATTAATCGAAACCCTGAAGCCCTTTGGGGTCTTTGAAGAGGAAGAGGAACTGCAGCGCAGGATTTTAATTTTGGAAAAATTGAATAATCTGGTAAAGGAATGGATTCGAGAAATCAGTGAAAGCAAGAGTCTTCCACAAGCTGTAATTGAAAATGTTGGGGGAAAAATTTTTACATTCGGCTCTTATAGATTAGGAGTACATACAAAAGGTGCCGATATTGATGCTTTGTGTGTTGCACCAAGACATGTTGATCGAAGCGACTTTTTTACCTCATTCTATGATAAATTGAAACTACAGGAAGAAGTAAAAGATTTAAGGGCTGTTGAGGAGGCGTTTGTACCAGTTATCAAACTATGTTTTGATGGGATAGAGATTGATATTTTGTTTGCAAGATTAGCACTGCAGACTATTCCAGAAGATTTGGACCTAAGAGATGACAGTCTGCTTAAAAATTTAGATATTAGATGCATAAGAAGCCTTAATGGTTGCCGGGTAACAGATGAAATTTTACATCTAGTGCCAAACATTGACAACTTCAGGTTAACTCTGAGAGCCATCAAACTGTGGGCCAAGTGTCACAATATCTATTCTAATATATTAGGTTTCCTTGGAGGTGTTTCCTGGGCTATGCTAGTAGCTAGAACTTGCCAGCTTTATCCAAATGCAGTAGCGTCAACTCTTGTACGTAAATTCTTCTTGGTATTTTCTGAATGGGAATGGCCAAATCCAGTGTTACTGAAAGAGCCTGAAGAAAGGAATCTTAATTTACCTGTGTGGGACCCAAGAGTAAATCCCAGTGATAGGTATCATCTTATGCCTATAATTACACCAGCATACCCACAACAGAACTCCACATACAATGTGTCTGTTTCAACCAGGATGGTCATGATTGAAGAATTTAAACAAGGGCTTGCTATCACACATGAAATTTTGCTGAGTAAGGCAGAGTGGTCCAAACTTTTTGAAGCTCCAAGCTTCTTTCAAAAGTACAAGCATTATATTGTACTTCTGGCAAGTGCACCAACAGAAAAACAACATCTAGAATGGGTAGGGTTGGTGGAATCAAAGATCCGAATCCTGGTTGGGAGCTTAGAGAAGAATGAATTTATTACTCTGGCACATGTGAATCCTCAGTCATTTCCAGCACCCAAAGAAAATCCTGAGAAGGAAGAATTTCGTACAATGTGGGTAATTGGGTTAGTGTTAAAGAAGCCAGAAAACTCTGAAATTCTCAGTATTGATCTCACCTATGATATTCAGTCTTTCACAGATACAGTTTATAGGCAAGCAATAAATACTAAAATGTTTGAGATGGATATGAAGATTGCTGCCATGCATTTGAAAAGAAAGGAACTTCATCAATTACTGCCTGATCATGTGCTTCAGAAAAAGAAAACACAGACAGAAGGTGTGAGATTAACAGCTTTGAATGACAACAGGCTTGACTTGTCTGTAGACAGTGAAAACAGAATTTCTGTGCCTTCATCTACTAGCACTATGAAGATTGGCCCATTGACTGGCAGCTCTCAGGGAAGAAGCAGTCCTGCACTGACTTTAATGGCAGGATCTGTAACCAACATACAGGCTACTGAAATTTCCTTGCAACAAGTGAATCCCAGTGAAAGCTCGGGGGTTGCATCGAGTGAAAGCATTCCTCAAACTGCCTCACAACCTTCTATTTCACCATCACCAAAGCCCATGGTCCCCAGAGTGGTTTCTTCAACGTGTCTTGTAAGCCATCCACCCAGATCTTCAGGAAACACAGCAACAAACATACCGAATCCTATAATAGGCGTCTAGAGGACATTCTCACCTCATAAATAAGAAACAAGAAAACCAAAACCAAAGAGAACTGTGTAGAGTGACAAGTACAACTCTATTAGAAACAAATAATTCAGACCACGGCTTCTCTGTTGGCCTCTCAGGAAACATCCAGTACAGATCTTTCCAATATCCCTGTTCTCCCTGCAAATCCTATCCCTGTTATCAAGAATTCAATAAAACTGATCCAACGGATAAAAACAACTTCAAGGGTCCATAAACGATATCTGCCAACTCAACTGTTGTCTTCAAATGCTAAAGAAGGAGAGTGAAGGGTACCAGACTAGATATGACTTGAAATAGATTTATCTATCGCCATTTGGTAACTTCCTTTACTGGGCTAATACTGATCAGAAGTCCAGACTAGTTTGTGAAGCTAGGGGTACTAATATTAATGTGTCAGATTATCAATGTGTCAGAAAGCTACATTAGTTATTTCAAAGGACTACTGCCCTTGAAAAACCTTCCAGCTATATTTGTACACATAACTGACATCTGGATTGGATTTAAGTTTGATGCATTGTTGGGATAATTTGCAATACAAACTGGTATCAGAATTTCTTATACTGATGATGCACTTTATATTTTTTATTAGAAAGTAGAACTAACTAGATTTTTCAACTTGATGAATTTTAGTTTTTTTCCTGAAGAGGTTTCTTCACTATTAAGATTGGATACCATTGTGTAGTGGTAACACTATACCTCAGAGAAAGCATAAAAGTACATCTAGCTCAGTCCCTGTAAGGTAGCTGTAACCCTTTAAAATGAAATTCAACTTTAGGGTACGTATTTGACATCAATACAGTAATTACTTTGGTTTTGATGGGACGTGATTAAGAAATGATACATTTGTTTTATCTATAGAATTATTTTAGAGAGTATATAATCAGCGATCAAACATTTTCTTTGAGCTAATAAAGCTCCATATTCTCTTGTCCTTAATCATTTGTCCTAAAACAAAAAAGGCTTTTTGCCTTCCCCTCTTCTTTTAACTTGTATGCACGAGATACGCCTGTATGTCATTTCATTTAAAAAACCCAGAATACTAGTATTTTCTAAACCATGATGTGAAACCCATACTCCTGTGGCTACATGGCACAAAACACCAAATTTTGGTTTCATGGCTAATATTTTAGTAAAACTTTACTAAAGGTAAAGCCTGTGAAACATGTTACTAGTCTTAGATGGCCATTTGATCTCTCCATATGAGGCATTTTTGATCTCTTATGTCTGAGAAATTTTATAAATTCCACAGAATACCTACTTATAGGAAAATTAATTTCCAATTTTAAACAAGTAGGCAAAACAGCATTTTCTCCAAGAATTTTAAGTCAATTTTAATTTTTTAAATTACTTATCAAAATTTATCAGTAAATTTTATGTTAGAAACATAAAAATAATTTCTAGCAAACACTTGACATTTAGTCAGTTTTCTACTCTTTGTTTTATCCTATAAAAATAAGGAATACTTTACTTTAAAATTTTGAAAATCTCTCATAATTAAGCAGAAGAGCATCCATGTTTAGGAAACATGAAGGACAACAGATGTAGATGAATGGAAGGTCTTTCTTAATCCAGACATAGAAAACTTAATAGGCTTTCCAATTAGCCTCATTCTGACCTCTCTCACCCCTCCTCAACTGTTCCTTTCTACCACATGTGCATTTTTCATGTTAAACTGCGATTACTTAAACTCTTCCTATTGTTCTAAATTCTCCAAAGTTGGAATATAGTCTTTTTCCTTTTAGGCTATACAGTACTTGAGACTTTCTTTTCACTATTACTTTTTGATGTCTAGTATACAATATTTCTGTTTTTCATATCTTTGACCTGTGCAATCACTTTACCCTTTCACTATAATAATAAATCGGGTGAAGTAGGTACCATGTTCATGTATTTTGAATAACTATGGTATAAGGTTGAAATTGCCAGTCACACATTTAGTCTTGTCATTTTGTTTACATATTGGGGAAAAATTAGTTTATTAAACATTTCTTGTAATTGTACCTGTTTTACCGAGCTGGAAACTTGGGACTTTTTATTTCTAATATTTATTACCTGACTATCAGACAACTTTTTTCATATGATGTGCATAGTGACTGGAGTTTGCTTTGTTTTGTAGTTCTGTACTCCTTGTATTTTCAAGCACTATTTTGAAAACAGATGATGTATTTCTCCATTAAAAACACAATAAAAATAAATGGCAAACAAATAAGCAAAGTGAAACTGACATACGGGACAATAATGTTTAAATCTGACCGTGAGAGTTCAGCTATACTGACCTCATTCTGAAGGAGGGTACAAACTTTTTGTCTTAATATATTAAGTATGAAATTTTTGTCTTTACTAAGTCTAGAATGTATGTTACAATGCTTGGGGAAACATGAAAAAGTTAAAATTTCAAATCAACAAAGGTAAAAAATGACATAGTCCAAATATCTTAATCCAAAAGAAGGCTGGAAAGAAAGTGGGGAGAATCATAGAAAAAATAGGGTGAAAAGAAAATACAATTTATGGTTGTGGAAATGAAACCAAATATATCTGTCACTATGATAAATGGGCCAAACTTCCTAACTAAAAGATAGAGATCATCTATTTCCATGGGGAAAACCAAGTCCAGCTGTGTGCTGTTTCATTTATAGGAGACACAACCCAAACGTAAGGACATAAAAGAATGGAAAAAGGATATGCTAATAAAAAGAAGCTTCTATACCAACAATACCATTCAAACAGATTTCAAAGCAAAAATAATTATTAGGGACAAAAAGGCTACCACATTAATGGTAGAAGAAATCATGCACTAAGAAAATGGAATAATTTTAAACTTGTTTGCCCCTAATAAATTAGCTTCAACATAAAATAGCAAAGCAAAGATAAAAAGAAATTTCCAAATTTCCAAATATCATAGAATATGTCAAAACAACCCTTTCATTAATTGATACCAAGGAGACAAAAAAAAAGAAGGAAAATAGTTTTAAACAAATTTAGTGTAATGGTTGGTAAACTTTTTCTATTAAGGGCCTACATAGTAAATATTTTCAGCTACAGAGGCCATACGGTCCCTGTCACAATGACTTAACTCTATAGAGTGAAAGCAGCCACAGATAATACATGAACAGATGGCTAGGGGTGGATTTGTCATTCACCCTGCCAGCCATTGTTTGCCATCAGTAATCTAGTGGGCATTTATTATAGAACCTCTAGTCAACAATTGGAAAATGCCTATTATTCTTAAGTATTTGGAATGTACAAAAATTAATCTCATGCTAGATTAGAAAGTAATACTGAACATATTTTCAAAGCATCTTATTCATAGAACATTCTCAGATAGAAATCAGTAACAAATAGCTTAGAAAAGAGTTTCTTAAAAGAGACATAAAAAGACTCAAACCATAAAGGAAGAGACGGGTATAGTTAAAAGATTTTGTTCATTAAATAATGAACAGTGAAAAGAGAAAAACTAAACAACAGGCAATATGCTGGGAGAAGATTTTGTAATACATAAAACTGACAAATGTAGTTACTAACCAGAATATATTAAGGATGGCAAAAAAAGTATTTAAAAAGATCAAATAACCTAGTAAGAAATGGGCAAAAGAAATGCATAGGCATTTCACAGAAGAAGAACTAGGGGTGACCAGTAAATGTGAAAAGATGCTCAATCTCGTTAGTGATAAGGAAAATATGAATTAAGACCAGAGAGGTGTTTTTATTTATTTTTATTATTTTTAACAAAAATCAAGAAGTCTAACAACATCTAAATTTGGTGAAGACGAAGAGTAGTGAGAACTCTAACATGGTGCCAGTAAGAGTACAAATTGTTTTGACCACTTTCAGAAACAATTCAGTCTCATTTCTAGTAAAGCTGATATGCCTAGCTGATACATTCCTAGTATTCTATTTGTAGGTCTCTGTCCTCATGTTGTGGGGCACTGAGGTACTTCCACTTACTGATCCCCTTAGCCTTTGGGATGGGAGACTGTGGGCCTGTAGCCATGTTCAAAACTTTACACATCTTCTAGTTCACCTCCAGTGTACAACTTAATGCCATTTAAATACCTTAATTTTTTATGTATTCCATAATATTCAAAGAGTCAGGAAGCACTTGGAGATGAGTACAAGAGTGTTTATAGCAATATTATATAATAGCCTAGAAGTACAAAACAACCCTCATATTCATCAAGGGGGGAATGGCTAGATAGTGATGTATTCATGCATCAAATGCTATAAAGCTGTAAAATTAAACCATAGCTACTTGGATCAATGTAGATATGTCTCAGAATATTGAGGAAACAAGCAAATTGTAGGAAAATACATGGAGTATGATACAATTAATATAAGGTTTAAAAACAAGTAAAGTAGAGCAGTATAATTTAGAGTTACCCAAATATGTAGTATAACTAATAAAAAAATAAGGGAATGTTTAACACAGAATTCAAAATAATGGTTCATTATGGCAGGGTGATAGGTAGGACAAGGCAGAAAGATGTGGTTGGGAGAACCGTGAACTGGAAAATGTCTATTCTTTTTAGGTTAGATAATGGATAAAATGACATTTATTTTACATGTATTATACATCTAAATTATGGATACTTTTATGTGTTCAATATTTTATAGTTAAACAATGTCAAAGTGATACTACATATCTTAAAATTATCATCAAAAACAAAGTGAACCCCTTAAAACAAAATATAAATCAACAAAAAAGAAACTACTTCAGGGCTGGTAAGTTGGCTTTCTTGGTCCCTGGGGACTTAGACTTCTACTTTTTGGCTCCATCATTTTTGTTCATCCTTTTCATTCTCAAGGTGACCTCAAGATGCATCATTTTTGTTCATGCTTTCCATTCTCAAGGTGACCTCCAGTTTGTGGGGACCACTGCCATCCCATCTTTACTCAAGGCAGGAAGAAAGAAAGAAGAGGGGGAAGGGCAAAGGTGTCTCTGCAATCCATGTCCTCCTTCAATGG